CCTCCCTCCCTCTTGGCTGTCCATATATTATATTGAACCAGGTATAGAAAGCGAAAGAAATTGAACTCTGTTATTTTCATAGGACTGTTTTCTGCAGATGATATGAACACGGTTAACGGGATGCTGGAGACGGCTGTGGGCGTGGGCATGTGCGTGGGCCCAGCCGTCGGCGTTTGGCTCTACTCGGTTCGTCTTTCTCTTTGGTATCTAAAAGGTTCTTGAATTTACATTTCTGTCCTGGGAACCTTATATCGTGCCACTAATCGCCTTCTGTAGCGAGGTTTCCAGTAAAGCCGGATTTCTCCCCACAGCTTGGGGGTTTCTGCCTCCCCTTCTACGGCCTGGGCAGCTTCATCCTCCTGACTGTGCCGGTCAACATGCTGACCTTCCCGAAGCGCGGGGACATCTCGCCGGAGCTCATACAGGGTACCGGTAACAGCCCAACACCCACTTGAGAGGACATGTGGATTAGACTGCATTGGTTATAGAGAAGTAGACTGGATATGTTCGAGTCGAATTTCAGTCCTTTTTTAACGATCCGCCAGACGCAGAGCGAGCGCCGGTGAGTGAGGCCTTGGGCCTAACTTCGATCTTGAAGCGCCCCGGGGCAGTGCTGCCGCTGGCCATCTTGAGCGTGACGGCGGTGTGTCTGGCCGTGCTCTACCCTACGCTGCAGCCGCACATGCATGGCGTCAGTTGCCTGCATTGGGTTTTCGTAAACTTATTTATTATTTGATCTAATATTGTTGCGTCCAAATGGCTATTAATTCAGCTCCCAGAATCCTTAGTGACTGCCGAAAGAAGTAACGCCGTTGGTCTTCCTGCAGTTGGGGGTGTCGGTGGAGGGCGTCGGCCTGGTGTTCCTGCTCATGTCCGCCGTGTACGCTGTGTCCTCCCCGCTGGTGGGCTTGGCCACGGACCGCTACAACTGCCCCTCGAGCTTCATGCTGGCGGGGCTGCTGCTCCTGACGCTGGCGCTCATTCTGATCGGCAATTCTCCTTTGCTGCCGAACGTGACCCATGATATGTATGGTCCATGTAAAGATCTTTTAGAAATAGTTTAGTTACAATAGAATTGCAATATGTATTTCATTTACATAACTCACATTTTTTCTTCAGGCTGTATAAACAAGATGTTGTAGCCGTTGTGGTGATCGGCCTCGCTTCTGCCATGTCCATTGTACCCACCTTCGCCTCCATTCTTTACGTCCTCGGGTAACTTGTCTATTTATGTTTTCCCGTAGACTCTCTGGTGCACAAAATTGTTCACTAAAATTACTGAGAAATCGTTTTCCGTTCATACTACTACATCGCTGTTCCCTGCAGCGAGGATGGCATAGTGGGCGTCACAACTTTCTCACTGGTGGGCGGCATGTGGTCTGCCTCGTACTCTCTTGGGTGAGCTAATGATACCTGGCCAGTATGAATTTGTCTCATTATAATGTTAAACGATATATTTTAATATATGAAGTATCTAAAACGTGTAATATAGCTCAAAATGCTATTAGAGTATCATCATCTGAGGAGAACCTCGTTCCATTGGGGATTTTATTTTCGATGACTCCCTACTTCGACACGTTTCCTCCTCCATCCATGCGTCTTGAGACACTTGCACCAGCGGACCGCATGATTTCAGCCTCCCCTTAACACACAGGGAAATGTTGGGACCCCTCTACGCTGGCTTGATGGCCGAGTACGTCAGCTTCGCCACCTCGACCACCGTGACTGCGCTTCTGCCCGCAAGTCTGGTAATGACAAAGGCCTCAAGTATAAACATCACAAATACTGACGGTAGCCACGGCAGAGAAACATCGGTTTCATATGGGAGTAAAGCTTATTTTTCATTACGCTTATGATATCAGTTACTGTGTTGACTTCAGCTAAAGTACATGAAATTGATTCTGCTGTTTTAATTCAATCATCACCATTTGGACATTCACTTTTTTGCTCGTTATGTCTCGCTACTCGTTCTCCAGCGAGTTCTCCCTAACCCGCTCTTCCCTTCCAGGCCGTAGTGCAGGGTGTGTACATGTGCATGGAGTGCTACCGCTCCCATGGCAGACCCAAGTCGACGCTCAACTGACCTCTGGATCACGGCGATCTTGCGGGACCCGCCGCCGGGGTCATCCTTACCGTCTGTGTCTTTCAGCCTAGACTTTTACTCACGGTTGCCGCTGTCTGTCGCGCCGCAAGTTGAGCGAACGGCAGCATCTGCGACCTTGATGTTCGGGGCAGAGTGCGGGGCCAGCGATGGAGGACATTTATTTTTTTCCCTTTTATTGCAAGGCAGACAAATGCTCATTCAGTTTAACGTTTTAATGTTAAGCTGTCGTTCCTATTGTATTCCTCAATTTCATACTGCACTGCACATTTTCGATTTATAATTCTAATTACAAACTCTTGGTATGTTCTCTGTTATTTTATGTATGAATTAGTATTATTTGATGTAGCAGATTTGTTTTATCAGCATTTTAGCATTTTACTTTTTATTTTCTACCAATATGTTCAGCCCCCAAAAGTAAGATAATACCATATTTATTGACCACTCTGTGATGATAAAAACTGAAGGCAAAGAGAGTTTTATTTCACGCCTTCCTAAAGAACTTCCTGTCTCTGAGCTGCCATATATGTCGCCAAGTCACTCTCAAGCAGCAAACAATGCTATGTATTTTAGACTGAAGGTTGGGTATTGTTCGCATAATAGGGGGGAGAGAAGGGCGGGCGGGAAGTGGGCTATCATTCGAGCCTCAAGGCAATGTGGAAGGAAAAATGCAAGTGAATCACCATACCTTTCTTCATTGTTGACTTTCCGAGTTAATGCGATCTGAACTCGGTTTTACAGAATTACACGAAGAATTTTATTCTTATTCTCGTTCTGGCTTTTCAGCTAAACGCTTCCCATATATCCGCTGCTCACTCCCCCCTCTCCCTCTTTCTCAATGTCCAGAGGATGTAGGTAGACTGTGACGAGGCTAGATTGAGACGAGACACACATCTCATGCATCTAGCGATGAACACAGCCCACTGATGGAGAGGGCAAGAGCAAATGGAGAGTGTGTACAAAAGGATTAGGCTTGGGTATGAATAGTACTGGGAGTTGGGCGTTCAAAAAGTAGCGGGAAGAAGAATGGAAAGTGTGTAGATTACTAAGATTGTAATAAACCTTGATACACTATATATTAGCGCCCTATGACAGAAGTGCAGAAATAACGTGTATCTGAACAGATCGTTTAGAGAATCAGGATTGGCCAGGTACTTGAAATTTTGAATAGGTACATGAATTTTACACCTCCCTCCCTTCCTCCCTTCCTCCCTCTCCCTCCCCCTTCCTCCGGTTCCCTCTCTCTTTCTCTACGGTTCCTCCTCTCTCTCCCGCTCCCCCCCTCTCCCCAGTTCCCTCTCTGTCAGGGTTTTGTTTTCCCCTGACTTTGGTGGGTTATGGAGAGAGAATTCTGGTTTCTTTCTTTATTGGTTGAAGTGGCTGGTAGCGTTGCGTGGCTCTTTCGTGCTTGTACAGTTGTGGGCAAAGGGGAGCCCAAGGGCGCGCCTGACCAGACCAAGGGGAGGCCTGGTCAGGGCCGTGACCCGGTCAAGTGGGTCACGTGTCGAAGCATTCAAGAACAGGGTCAAGTGTCGAAGCATTCAAGAACAGGGTCAAGTGTCGAAGCATTCAAGAACAGGGTCAAGTGTCGAAGCATTCAAGAACAGGGTCGGGAGCCCCTATCACTGGGGACGTGGCTAGGTACCCCTCGTTCATACGCATAGCTATTAACGTCGTCCTCGACGGGATGGCGCTGGCGCGCTCTGAAGGAAGCACACCCGGGCAGAGACAGGAGGGCAAACAGATGGGGGGGAGGGGGGTTGTGGATACCAAGGGCCATAAGATATAATCAAAATTTGTCAGATTGTAATGTGTTAATTCAATTATTTGCATGATTAAATTTTTATTTATTTTTTTCATTAATTCATTGTCCGAGGACAGACAGAGGAACGTGCTTAGGGAGACAATTGCAACATTAATCAACTACTATGCGAAATCATAAAAATAGTACTTTAATTAGTACATAAAATGAATGAAACGGTGATGGGTCTATTGCAGAACAGGCTAAGGCTTGCAGAGCAACGCATGATGCAAGCGGGTTTGGGTCAGCTTCTCTTGGACATCTGACAGCCTTAAAGACAACCTTCGTGGTTGTAAATGATATATATTTAAAAGAAATTCCCTGAGGAAAAGTAATGATGGACCCAATCGTAGAAGGGATATATGATCGACGAGCTCATACGCAGAACGCAAATTGGGCATCTCATAATGGGAAATAATCTCACATATAGTCATATATAAGAATGGGCGCAGCTCGGCGTTAGATCACTCTGGCGATAATTGTGCAGCTCGGCACATACAGGAGAAAACGCTAACACTAATAATGGTGAAATGAGGTTTGTAATTAAGACTGATTAATGAGAATATGTTTGAAAATCAGGTCGGCATACTAACAATTATAGTATGAAAGGAAAGAAATGGAAAATCGTTAGGATGACCGAGGTAATTTAGCATGTACTGATGAATCATGAGAGCGAAAATCATGAACAGTATGAAATCTCAGTAGCATTATAATATGATTAATCTCTAACACGGAGATAACAATTAAAATATAAACAAATAGCCTGAATACTGAATACTACCGATATCAGTCATCCTCCTCCTCATATTCCCCCGACACCCCTTCCTCCTCCTCCCTCACAACACGACCCAACCCCCTCAACGCCAACTACTGCCGATATCCATCCTCCCGACACCCATCCTCCTCCTACTCATATTCCCCCTACACCACTTTCTCCTACTCCCTTCTAACGCAAACCTCCCCCCTCAACTCCAACTATACGTACATTCTCCCTCTCCATCCACTCCCTCCTGGATACACACGTGAATCCCATATGTAATTTCCTTAACTAAACCCACCATAGCCCATTCATACAGCGACTCTTTACCTATCTTTAACCTTTCAAGATCACTCTAGATAGTTGACGAATAGCAACTATCACCCTTCACCCCTCTTTTAATATACTTTCTTATAGTGCTATATGACCTCAACTCCCGCTCCCTCCTCCGCTCCCTCTCTCGCTCTCCCTCTCTCCCGCTCCCTCTCTCCCTCTCTCCCTCTCCCTCTCTCCCGCTCCCTCTCCCCCTCTCCCCTCTCCCTCTTCCCCTCCCCTCTCCCCTCTCCTCTCCCCTCTCCCTCTCCCTCGTCCCTCTCTCCCGCTTCCTCTCCCTCTCTCCCGCTTCCTCTCCCTCTCTCCCACTCCCTCTCTCGCTCTCCCTCTCTCCCGCTCCCTATCTTGCTCTCCCTCTCTCCCTCTCCCTCTCTCCCGCTCCTTCTCTCCCTCTCCCGTTCCCCTCTCCCTCTCTCGCTCCATCTCTCGGTCTCCCTCTTCCTCTCTCCCTCTCCCTCTCTCCCGCTCCCTCTCTCGCTCTCCCGTTCCCCCTCTCCCTCCCCCGCTTCCTCTCTCGCTCTCCCTCTCTCCCTTTCCCTCTCTCCCTCTCCCTCTCTCGCTCTCCCGTTCCCTCTCTCCTTCTCCCGCTCCCTCTCTCCTTCTCCCGCTCCCTCTCTCCCTCTTCTCTCTCCAGCTCCGTCTCTCGCTCTCCCTCTCTCGCTCTCCCTCTCTCCCTCTCCCTCTCTCGCTCTCCCTCTCTCCCTCTCCCTTTCCCTCTCTCGCTCTCCTTCTCTCCCGCTCCCTATCCCGCTCTTTCTCTCACTCTCCCTCTTTCCCTCTCCCTCTCTCCCGCTCCCTCTCTCCCGCTCCCTCTTTTAATATACTTTCTTATAGTGCTATATGACCTCAACTCCTCTCCCTCCTCCGCTCCCTCTCTCGCTCTCCCTCTCTCCCGCTCCCTCTCTCCCTCTCTCCTCTCTCCCTCTCCCTCTCTCCCGCTCCCTCTCTCCCTCTCCCTCTCCCCTCTCCCTCTCCCCCTCCCCCTCTCCCCTCTCCCTCTCCCTCTCCCTCTCCCCCTCTCCCTCTCCCTCGCTCCCTCTCTCCCGCTTCCTCTCCCTCTCTCCCGCTTCCTCTCCCTCTCTCCCGCTTCCTCTCCCTCTCTCCCACTCCCTCTCTCGCTCTCCCTCTCTCCCGCTCCCTATCTTGCTCTCCCTCTCTCCCTCTCCCTCTCTCCCGCTCCTTCTCTCCCTCTCCCGTTCCCCCTCTCCCTCTCTCGTTTCCCCCTCTCGCTCTCTTCTCGCTCCTCTCTCGGTCTCCCTCTTCCTCTTCTCCCTCTTCCCTCTCTCCCGTCCCTCTCTTCGCTCTCCCGTTCCCCCTCTCCCTCCCCCGCTTCCTCTCTCGCTCTCCCTCTCTCCCTTTCCCATCTCTCCTCTCCCTCTCTCCCTCTCCCTCTCTCGCTCTCCCGTTCCCTCTCTCTCCTTCTTCCCGCTCCCTCTCTCCTTCTCCCGCTCCCTCTCTCCCTCTTCTCTCTCCAGCTCCGTCTCTCGCTCTCCCTCTCTCGCTCCTCCCTCTCTCCCCCTCTCCCCTCCTCTCTCTCTCCCTTTTCTCTTCCCTCTCCCTTTCCGCTCTCTTCGCTCTCCCTTTTCCCTCTCCCTTCTCCCGCTCCTCTCTCCCGCTCCCTCTTT